GCGTGTGTTTGTGTGTGTGTGTGTTTGTGTGTGTGTGTGTGTGTGTGTGTGTGTGTGTGTGTATGTGTGTGTGTGTGTGTGTGTGTGTGTGTGTGTGTGTGTTTGTGTGTTGTAGAGTAGTTGTTTTTTTTCAAAGATGAGGATCAGCCCCCTTCCCCCCACTTTTTGGACTAGGATACATATCATGCGTCACCACATACAAAATTTGCACTCCCTAAGAAGTGCCCATATATATATTTTTTCCTAATAAATAGTTAAACCATCACTGCCCCTGCTCTTCGATTTTCGGGGGGACCGGTAACACAGGTTTATGAGGGTTGCCAGTAGCAGATTGGGGAGAGCTGGCAAGCAGTAAAAATGTACATGCATCGAATTGCCGCCGTGATTTTTTTCGAAGTTGAAATGATTTTTTTTCTAGGAAGTTTTTCATGCCCGGCCGGGCCTGCACGGCCAGGCACCCAGGTGTGACGCCCGGGGTACCCGGGCGTGCAATTTGTCTTTCGGCGCTTTCTCAGAGGAACCCAACTCCGGACTTGTTTCATTTTTTGAGAGTTGGCTGTCAAGGGGGGTATAAATTATTTTTAAAGGGGCTAAGAGGGGTTGAAGGGTGGATTCTTTAGTGTGATTTTGTTATTTTTTATCTCTGATTCGGTGAGGAATTTTGATGTGACCCTCGGCCAAAAGTTGTTTGTATTGCAATTCTACACAACATATGTTTTTTCCGGGAAGTTTTTGATTTTCGTTTTTTTTTTTTTTTTGTGTTGGAGTTGCCCGGACCCCTTCCATGGGTCATGCCCGGCCGGGCACCCGAGCACGTATCCAAGCACAAGTTGGGTGCCCGGATGTCCGGAAGAACAACGTAGATTTTTTTTTTTTTTTTTTTTTTTTTCCTGGAAAGATCACTACGAAATCTACATACCCTCCCATTTTCAGATTTCTTGACGTTTTTCCTTTCAACGTGAAAAATCGTTTAAGTTGGGGTAGTTTTCGTGTTGGCCCACATGTGGTAAAGTGACAAGAATGGGAAATGAGACAATTTGGCGCGACACTTATTTCACAATCTTAAATATATATTTTTAAATTTTAAATATTTTTCGTGGAAAGACCATGACCAACTACAGACCCTTCAATTTGCAGAGTTGTGGAATAATCCTTATGAGCACAAAAAATAGCAGAAGTTGGGGTACTTTTCCCGTTGGCCAACACTTGTCAGAATAATAGCCATTTCATCAAAACGGACATATTATATTCTTTGAACGAAATCAAAACTGTTTTTTTTTGCCAAAATCCGGTCGGAATTTTTTGCTCCTGGGGTTCCGGCGTTCCCAAAACGCCGGACCCCCTACATGTATCTGGTCTATGGTTGAGACCAGATACAAAAAAAAAAATAATAATAATAAAGTTTTTGCTCCTGGGGGTCCGGCGTTTCCAAAACGCCGGACCCCCTACATGTATCTGGTCTATGGTTGAGACCAGATACAAAAAAAAAAATAATAATAATAAAGTTTTTGCTCCTGGGGGTCCGGCGTTTCCAAAACGCCGGACCCCCTACATGTATCTGGTCTATGGTTGATTCATGATTCATGATGTGAATGATACGAAGTCAAACATAAGAGGTATACATACACACACGTACCCACACGTACACCAAGCTCAAGCTGACAAGTCAACAAGTTGAAGTGTACAACCAAGAGTCTTCATTTAAAACATACCGACAAACCCAAGAACCTCCTGCTTACCACAAACCCAGACGCATCGGTGACCTACGCTACCGTCATAATGACGGGCACCGAGCGCTCGACTCAAGAGGTTGAGCAAATAATGAGTGGACCTTATATAGTCTCCGGAGCAAGTCCTATCTCTACAATTGAGCAGCTCGGAACCTAGACAGGTATTAAACCAAAGCAAACTAAGGTAGAAAAACTTGAAAAACAAGTCCGAAACGTAACAACCAAGGACAAAAACCAAGTACGGGCAAAGTCGGTCCGAAGGTCCTAGGCTCAAATCCTGCAAACTCTGTGAAATATCAAACGAGCCATAGGTCCCAGGGTCGACGTACCTCAAGAATTATGAAGTATTGGTACAGACAGACGTACATTGGCACCAAGTCACAAATCCTAGGGTCGAGGCCCGATAGAACAACTCCTATCAAGTAGACTAAGGTACTCTGATACAGAAACCCTGTCCACGTCTTTATTCACTCCCCTGTCCGAAGGTATATCCACAAGTATTCAAAACCGTCCTACCTTGTGTCCGACATAGCAGTATCGGATATCACGATAGTAGTTGCACTGTGAGGCGCCAAATTGCATCACGTTTGACAGCAAACCTCCGCAGGATTCTCATGAAAAAGTCATCGGGAACGTCTTTCAGAGATAGTTCCCGTCGAATGGCTAACACCCGTCCTGGGATGCAAGACCTGATCGACGTATTCTTGTCGATACGGTGCAGGGAACTACCTACGATAACACTCTTTTGGCGTTTGCAACCCCAGGACAGATATGATTGTCCATTCTGAATTTTCAAACGGTCAGAGGTCCATAAACAGTCTTCATTCTTCGTCATCTGCACACTTCCCATGAAGGGGAAAGATTGAGAAATCCGAATCTGACACCCCAAGAAATCAAACGTGCCAGTGCCGTCATCCGTACATTTGAGAAGCAAATTACTGGGATAACAGCGTCTGAATGATTCCACAATCCATCTGTCATCATGGTTACGTTGGCTGGAAATGACCAGCATTACATCATCAATCAAGCGCGTACCGAAAACACGGTTAGCTGCGTTGCCAATGCTACAGATAAAGCGATATTCTGCGAAAGCACACATGATGCAGGCTAGCGGAGGGCTAGTGCTCTTCCCCATGGGAATGCCCAGATCTTATTTCAGCAACACTCCAGTAGCGTAAAAATACGAGTGCTTAAGTTCAATATCCACGAATTTCTGCAGGTCAACCAGATCCATCCTGCGCCAGTGGTCACCTCCAGTAGTCGCGCCGAAGCTGGCACCCTTCCCTCTCGTGTTAACACGTACATACCTCCTACCTTTCGACAGATGATGATTGACCAGCCAATCAATGGCACGCCTAATCTCGTCATGGGGGAGTTTACTGAACATCTCCTTTATGTCGAAGGAGAACGATGTCACTGTCCTCTCAGCTCCCAGACGAAGAAAACGTCGATTAGCTGTCTCAAAGGTCCCAGCTGGTCGACTGACTGCCTGCAAATTGAAGTGCCATCACTGGGGGATAGCAGCAAGAAGAAAATTGAAACTCTTAGCGACTAAACGACCAGTACGCACCATAGGCTCTTCGAAGGTAGGGACGATGGGCCTAAAGCGTGCAAGGTCTTTCTGTTTCGGAATTACATAAGCCGCTCTAAATTTCCACTCCTTGTTCCAACGGCAAAAACTTTTTAGTCCCACTCCCTCAGCATCTTATCGAATCTCCCGGAGCACTTGTCCTTCGCTGGTGCTCATGATACGGTACCCTGAATTGAAAACAAATGTAGACAGCATTGCCTCATAGTACAACTGTGGGCACATTACAACAGACTCTCCAGGATTCCGGTCGATGGGGGAGATGACAAAACCATCCAAACGCTTCCTTAAATCCAAAACTTCGGAAAGTGGCAGATATCCGGTCGAATCCTCATCACTCATCAAGCACGCACAAAGCACATCTTTACTGATGCTTGGCGGGTCGGTTGTACTATTGACCCAATTCGCGAACCTAGACTTCAGTTCCTCATAAAGCATGGGTAAGCGGTCTACAACACCCACACGCGGAATATTCCTTGCGTTCGAAAGCAAGGGGTGGATTCCATCCAGTTCGCTTAAACGGAACATAACATGTACCTGTGAGCGAGGGAAGACGGAGCCTGCACATGAGCAGGTCAGCACAAAGCGTGTTGAAAAACTACGCTGATTGTGCATAATTTCGCCAATACTTGGATTTTTACTCCAAATAATACGAATCTTCTTCCTCGTACGGTGTAAAAAGTACAACGGTAAGTCGTACTGCATGAGAGTGTCATTGACAACCTTCCGAACTTCTGCCAGTTTAATACGGTCATCAAATTTTAAACGAAAAATCAAATCCACACTAAGACTAAGTCTGAAACGATCTCGAAAACACCGACTAACAAGACGACGCAGATATTTACGCGTAGACTTGCGCGAAAAGTACTTGAGCACGCTGTAAACATGCAGTATCGATCGTATATTCCATCCACGAATATCAGCAATATTCCGTGGGTTACGAAGGATACGAATCAACACCTTCTTCAAAAAATGACAACGCGGCTTCCATTTGCAGACGTGCTTCAAACTGAAAGAACCGCCGGATTCAATCAAGCATTTACAGTCCTTAAGTACAAGCGTTTGCGAGCCAAAACCGACTTTTGTAAGCCCGAAGGCCTTGACAATCTTCCTCCATCCCGGCTGCCAGATCGTACCACCCTCAGTACGAAAGGACAGGTTAGGATTCCCATAATTAAAAACATCATCCAAAAGGGAGAAAAAATCTATACGCCAAGCAGATTCATTCTCAACAAGAAACCGGATAGGTTTCAAAACATTTTGTCCAGAACCCTGTACCGCTTTTTGTCTGGCACGCTCCTTCTTTCCTGGCTTACTGACCTTACCAATCCCGCCATTCTTTCTACAACCGTTTGTATTAAGAAATGGTGACCACTGCTTGATATATAGTGATTCTAACTTAACAAGATCATCACCAGCTAAAACATCAACGGGAATTAATACATAATTGCCAATACCGAAGGAACTAATCCAATGATGAAAGTGTGATTGTGTCTTTGAGCGACAAGCGTATATATATTCCCGCCAACGAGTATCAACATTACGGGTCGTTTTTCCGATATATAGCGATTTACAGTATGGTGAGATCGCAACATACACACAGGAAGTCAGGTCCAAAAATTCAATACCGTGCTTCTCATAGAGATTTAGCCAAGATGGCAAACATTTCTAAGCCCATCGAATCTGGTTATGCACAACTAACAACAGGAAGACAACGCGCAATAGACCATCAACCGATCTATTGACAGCGACAAGTTCACCACGTATCTGTGTCAAACATCTGCAAAGGTTCCATAGCTGCGGAACATCAAAAGGTCGTCACTCATTCACAACATTGGTATCGCCGGCGTCTGCACCCACCTCCTCTGAGTCGGCTATTGGAATAACTTCCACTTCATTGACAGAAGCTGCGGTAAACGCCACGTTCGTTCGATGTACGACAATATCAAAGATCGCGTCAATCTTCTTATCATAGATAACCCCTTCATCACGGCAAATGCGTTGCAGTTCAGTGGCATCGAGGGTCTTCAACTCCCGTAGGATGTTGTCCCGGTAGCGCAGGCGTGCCAGTGCTCCTTTTGAACCTGGTGTTAGGCCACGCGCCTGTGGCGAAATACGGACCGGAGTCTTCCGTAATGATGCAGGAGTGTCTGCTGCTTTACGCATCGAATTCGGTGTCTTCGCGCCGCCCTTCTTTGCCTGCGAGCGAGTTATCCGTGCTGACAGTTTCACAAGCTTCAGAATTCCCCGCTTCGGTGTTCTCTTAGGCGGCACCTCCATGAGCGGACTATCTTCAAACACAGGTTCGGGCCCTCTCTTCCGCTTCTCCGAGATGCACAAGCGTTCAGTCTTCTCACTTATCTCCTGAGTAACACTCGTGTCGCTCCCCTCGTCCTCACTGGATGAAGCGGAGGTACTAGCTGATTGGTAGGCAACTTTCCTCTTGCCTTTGTCCGCCCTCAGCAAACCAAGCGGTGCTACCGCTTGTGTAATACGACTGATGAATCGGTCCTCCATTTCAGTAAAGCGGATAGCGGCCTGGATATCTAGATCCTTTTTCATCTCCGCCCGCCATTCGGCCTCCAAGCGTACCTTCTCTTTCTTCTTCTCAGCCTTCTTCTCCTTCCGCGCTTGTTCTTCGGCAACAAACTTCAGTGCTTCTTCCTCACGTCTTTTTGCTTCCTCTATCTCGAGCTTCTTCTGCGCCTTAGCCTCCTTCTTAGCGCGTACCGCCTCGAAGTGCTCTTGTATCACGACAACATTCTTGCCTAGCTTTGCAACCATCGACTTCATCTCTGCTTCGTCATGAGATGTATGTCTGCAAGATTCCTGTCTTCGAGGTGACCGGGATCGCCTTGACTCTGATGATGTGGATGGTCGCTCGTTGCCGGATCGCCTGCTTCTGTTCGGACATTGATTTGCGTAATGTCCTGTTTCCCTGCATGTGAAGCATGTAGGAGGGCGATATGGCCTCCGCTCTCCTCCGTCATTGTGCTCATTGCCGCCTTCCGGTCCTGGCATGGTACCGGACACACACTGCAGCCTTACACCTCTCGATGCGCCGACGGTCTGAAACGCCTTCGAGATCCAAAGTCACTTGTCAGCAACACTTCCGAGCTTGAAAAGTCACGTAGAAAGTCACTAGTATGCAAGTTTATACATGCTCACTCAGCCTGGTATGTCATCTCCAAGTAAGTTCACGTGCACAGTAGTAGATTCATGATGTGAATGATACGAAGTCAAGCATAAGAGGTATACGTACACACACGTACACCAAGAGCTACACGTACCCACACTTACACCAAACTCAAGCTGACAAGTCAACAGGTTGAAGTGTACAACCAAGAGTCTTCATTTAAAACATACTGACAAACCCAAGAGCCTCCAGCTTACCACAACGCTACCGTCGTAACGACGGGCACCGAGCGCTCGACTCAAGAGGTTGAGCAAATAACGAGTTGACCTAATATAGTCTCCGGAGCAAGTCCTATCTCTACAATTGAGCAGCTCGGAACCTAGACAGGTATTAAACCAAAGTAAACTAAGACAAAAAAACTCGAAAAACAAGTCCGAAACGTAACAACCAAGGACAAAAACCAAGTACGGGCAAAGTCGGTCCGAAGGTCCTAGGCTCAAATCCTACAAACTCTGTGAAATATCAAACGAGCCATAGGTCCCAGGGTCGACGTACCTCAAGAAACATGAAGTATTGGTACGGACAAACGTACATAGGCACCAAGTCATAAATCCTAGGGTCGAGGCCCGATAGAACAACTCCTAGCAAGTAGACTAACGTACTCTGATACAGAAACCCTGTCCACGTCTGTAGACCAGATACATGTAGGGGGTCTGGCGTCTTGGGAACGTCGGACCCGCAGGAGCAAAAAATTCCGACCGGATTTTGGCAAAAAAAGTCGGTTTTGATTTCGTTCAAAAAATATAATATATCCGTTTCGACGAAATGGCAGTTGAATGACAAAAATAAAACCTGCAACAAAACGGCGCGACATTTATTTCACGGTCTAATTTTGTTTTTTGATTTTTTTGATATTTTTCCTGGAAAGACCACAACCTAGTCTACACGATCTTAATTTTTCATATTTTTTCTTCAATTCTTCTGAGCGTGAAAAATTGCCACAGTTGGTGCTTGAAAATTGAGGCACTCGACCCGCCTGCCACACTATGCAACGTTAGGGTTTGTGCTGCTACGATGCTGCTACGGCAGCAAGCAAGTGGCGAGGCAAAGGCGACGTGGAAGTGACGAGGCGCTGGCTACGGATGGACGGTGAGGCACTGGCTGCAAGCAGATGACGAGGCGCTGGCTTCCTACGGGTGGTGAGGTGCTGGTTACTTGCGAGTAGCGGGACGCTGACTTTTCACATATGGTGAGGCGATGGTGGCTTGCACACGGCGGGTTGTTGGCTGCTTGTGGGAGATGCGAGTGCTGATGAGGCATGAGCACCCAAAAGCTGCGTGAGTGGTATACGACAGAAATGGTGAAGTGGTCAGATGAGCGCTTAATGTACGCGCGGAAACTAGAGGCACTAGGCCAAGCCATGTCATGAGCTGACGAGGTGTCTGGTCTAAGTCATAGTGGTGAGGGAAGAGTAGTGGCAATGGCGGCTGCTCGAGCAGTCTCTCTGTGACCTCCACACGAAGTACACCACAACTAATGCCCCTTTAGGAGGCTGTAATGGTCAAGCGAGTTGGTGCAATGCCAATGTCGGTGGAAGAAAGTGGAGTTCGGTCCATGGAGACCAAAGTGCGTCGGACTTCGTTTGTCTACATCATCACAGCACTGACCCGCATTCTTAGGAGGAAGATTATCAGGGAGTCATCATCAAGGGAGCTGCTCAATTTTATTTTATTTTTATTGTTTATCTTGTGCAGGTTATCCATCAAGAGCATGAAGATTATCACCAATGTCATCACTGCGGGGAATCATCATCCAAAGTCGTTTATACTAATGTATATAAATTCATAGTTCTTCATTACGAGTCAATTGGTCATCATCTTCGCGGGCCATTATCTTCCTACCTCTCATCATCCTCGTCAAAGCTTTCATCGTCGATACATCATCATCAATTTACTGCGGTTAAAAAAAAAAAAAAAATCTTCATTCCGCAGTGCGTTGCTTTCATCATCGCGCTCTTCTAGGGCGTCGTAAATTCAATCATTCTACACGATGCTTCTTGCCATCTTCACGTTGATTGTTGACATCATCAGGGTGCAGTGGGTCTTCCTCATCACTATGCTGCTTCATAATCTTCTCATTAACCTATTCATTAGTCTCTTCATCCTAGGGCACTTCTTGCCGTCATCATCACTTGTCGTCCTTATTGAGTTTTTTTTCCTCTTTCTGACTCTCCCTTCGTTAACTAATGATTGGATTCGGGCGAAATGGTAAGATGAGGGAGAGCTTTCCTCTGCAGGGGCATCACAAGGCGGGAGGTGATTGCCCTGTAGGAAGCGAGGGCAGATTTTGAGGATTGTACTAATCTGGGGCTAGGATTATATCCCAGCGGTGGCAGATTGGGGCAAAGGGCTGATTGAGGCATACTTTTGGGGGAACGGTATGCCTTGTAGGGAGAATGGGAGGTGTGGGTCTGACCCTAGTTGGGGCTGATTAGGACTGCTCTTGATCAGGGCACTTCTGTTCAGCGGAGGCAACGAAGTGTCAGCGTGAAAAGTAGGGGGGGGGGGGGGG